ATTTTATTTTATTTTATCCTATTTTGATTTATTTTATTTTATTTTACTTTGCATTACCTTACTTTATTTTTATATTTTTTATTTATATTATTTTTATTTTAAAATATTTTGTTTCTTTTTTATAGTCTATATTGTTTTATTTTATTTGATATTATCTTATCTTATCTTATCTTATTTTAGTTTACTTTGTTATATATATATTTTTAAACTTAATTTAATTACATATTATTTTATTTTATGTATTTGATTTTGTTTTATTTTAAATCACTTTATCTTATGTTATTTTATTGGGGCTTGCTTTAGTTTTAACCCTCTTCCAAGTTTTTTTATATTGAATTATTATAATGCAACAGTTTTAAAAATATTGTCAAAAATCAACCGTTAGTTGTACTGTATTAGACTAGAATTTAAAAAGCTACAAAACTGCACACTCAAAAACTAACTGCTTACAAAACATCTAATTAAAAAGCTTGTAATTTTTTGAATTTTTCGCTTAACATAACCTACATAGTATGTTATGTATGTATGTCTTTTACCTAATTGAATAGTTATTTAGCACCCAGCTTTTTCGAACTGACTTCCGAGATAGGTCGATCTTCCACTCAGCAGTCGCTATGCTCATTGCGATTACCGTCCGATTAGCAAACTGTACTGTCAATTCGGCAGTATTTACTTTAGCCACCTAAATTCATATTATAGCCTGAGTCTTATGAATCTCAATTGATCTCTATAAATTTCAAGCCGGAATGATAACAGTCATTGGACACATAGCACAGAATAAATTCTTTTTGTTTGTCTTCAAAAATTTTCCTTTAGGGTATTAAGAAGTGTACAAACATACCGAACAATTAGAATAAACACATCGTCTGCGCTAATCAGTGGCTGGGGTCAAATATCAAAATAATAAATGTTGACACTTTGCGACGGTAGAGATATTCGTACATATACATGGCATTATCAGCAGCAAGACGAAGACGAGACTATGGTGGTTATGTACATACGGAGTATGGCCTACATACACACGCTTACTCATAAACATAAATAGTATATGAATATGTATTTCCATAATTACGGGCACAAAAGTGACATACAGTTTATAGTAGAAGCTGGTGTAAGCCTTAGAATTTACACATGAAATGTGATAATAGCTTTTGTGGAGAATGAGCTTAATTAAAGACTCACGAGAAGTCTTATTTACATGTATTTGAGTTTGTATATGTATGTGAAAATAAATTGAAGTATATATACATGTGTAGGTACATACATACAGTACAATAAATTCATACAAAATAGATACTTTATCAATAAAAAAAAAAAATTTCAGCTCCAATTGGCATTTCCTACTTAAATTTATTGGTTTTCGCTTTTCTCCTAAGACCAATAAAATTAAGTTTTCAATAACTAAATTAGTACTAGAATGTGACACATACATATATACCCAGACAGCCAAATGCGGCGCGCTGCGAATTTCGAATGAAAAGGGGGTCGAAGTGTTTTTTTGTTATCTTGGTTTGATCCACTCAAGCTTATTCGATTAAAACGCCGCTTTCTAATGTGCCTGGAAAAAAGAAGCTATTGAGATTATGGCAGTTGCGAATGCGAGCACAAAGTGGTTCCAAACCTCAAAGGACTGATTTTTCAAGATAAAAAATAATTTTTTATATAGTTCATTATTTTTAATTGTTTATTTGTATTTTTACTAAATAATATGTTATGTTTATTAATTATAAATAAAACAAAAAGCATTTTGAGAAACCGTAAAACTTTATTTTCGGTCTGTTATCGTAGCACTCCCAAAATACTCCGTCTAGGTTATCTTCGGATGACTTAAGGAGTCCCTAAAAAAAATCATGGGTGAGAATAGATGAGTCTGCATGAAGTCTTAGCGGATTATCTGAGCGAGCTTTTTGATTGGTGAAACTGGGAATTTGTCTTTTATTAAGTACAGAAAAGGTGTGTGTGTATAGTGATGAGGATGGCTTTGGGACAAATTTTCAATGACCTTATTGTTTCTGTATGGATGCATATTGGACAGTGAAAGCTGACCTGAACATTCGGAGTTATACAAATCTCGTTTATATCCCGGTTTTCGTTTTGGAAAGCCACTCTTTGACACCTAGAGTCCTCTGCCGTTGGAAGAGCGATGAAACTAACCTTACATCACGCTTTTCGGATGGTACTAAGTTTCTTTAACTTTTAAAGACGTGTGTACACACGGATACAACCCATTTCCGCAAAGGCAGCTTAAACTAGTCAAACTTAATATGGCTCAGAACTAGTATGAATATGATACATAACTTCTGCTGTGCTCAGAACTGCATCAAGCCAAAGCACCAGTCTCTCTCATTTCTAAACTAAAATTTATGGAAATAGCTTATTTCTGCAACTAAGTTCTAATTCGGCATTTCACCAATGATAGCGCATATTGGACATTTTCATCATTTACAGTTAATAAATAAAAGAGACTAATGCTTTGGCTTGATACATTCTGAACACAGGGTGTATGTTATTTTTTCTATATTTTTGTATATACATTTTCATAGAATGTATGTATATATGTATGAATATATCAAAAATCCATGCAACATATGTATGTATGCCTAAAAACACATGCCATCATTAACATTTATCATTTAAAAAAATATCAAGTTACTGAAATTCGCATAAACAGTATGGCAGCGATGACCTGCCCAAATCTTCGCTAATTTATTGGACAAACCAAATAACAAAGACAAATGAGAAACCAAGCTTAAAAGTGATAAGCGAAACTCTACACGAAAAAGATTTAACAAAAATCACAACAAAACCAATATCAATTTGAATATGCACATATGCGGAATTTTAACAAAATTTACACATATAAAAATACTTAGCTTATGCTGAGCGTAAAACCGAAAAATATAAAAAAGAATAAGTAGTTAAATATAAAACCACCAACGCAACCACAGACCACGAGCTTGAGATCACATACGAAACCGAGACTTTTCGATTTCAAATACCGTTGCCATTGCCTAGCTTATATACATATGTATGTACATTAGACTGCATCACCAAAAAAAGTTGCTGGTTTCCGCCGGAGTTACAAAACTCTTTATGTTTGAAGACTTTCATTAAAGTATTTTGGAAAAATATTAAGACTAACCTGAGTTGGACCGATTTGAAAATATATCAAAAACTGAGCTTTTTTATGAATAAAAATAGTTTCTTAAACGATTAAAAAAATAAAAATAAATCCCCTCAGATGACAAAACAGTTTAAGCTCATCAAAAATTTCATTATTATGATTCCGTTGAATTTTTTGTGTTATTTTTTAAGATTAAACTGTTTTGTCGTCTGAGGTGAATTTTTTCAAACAAACCTTAAAAAACCTATTTTTATTCATAAAAAACTTCATTTTCAAATTGGTCCAGCTCACGTAAATCTTAATATTTTTCCGAAATATTTTGGTGCAAGTCCTAAGATATAATAGATTTTATAATTCCAGTGGAAAATCAGTACCGATGTTTTTTTTTTTCTGTATGGGGAGTGTTGCAGTCTAATGTACATATGTACATATACTTGTTGCCACTGCCTGAATATACGCGCATACTTAAATATGTACATATACATACATTATATATTAAGTTTATTTTGTTGTTTTCTACTATTATTATCGCTTTGTCGATTTGCTATTCCGTTTGCCTTCCAGGCTGCCCTCAACTCAACACTACGATCAGTTTCAGTTCGGACGAAGCTTAGTAAAGATCGCATCTTAGCGGCTTCTTCTTATTTCTCAGCTGAGATTTGTGTGCGTGTAATTGTGCTGCGTATCGTCTTTTCTTTTTTTGTCGTTGTTAGTGTTCCGCGTAGGGCTTTGAAAATGAAAATCCTTTTGGTATTTTCACTTTTCATTGTCGGCACTTTGGCCAACAAAGTGGGCAATCAATCACCAGCTGGACCCAAAAAACATATGGTTTGCTACTACGACTCAACGAGTTTCATCAAAGAGGGTGAGTAACCGGTTCGCATAAGTGTATTTGCATACCGGGTGTGTGGGGCTTTTTCACTTGAAAAAGTTGTGAGAGTTTCTCGTTAATAAAGTGATATTGCATAATAGTTGTACTGATGACTTGAATTGATTTTAAATATTTAATTTACAAAGTGCCTGTGTACGAGTTAAAAAGTGAAGCCAGAAGTTTAATATACATATATGTAGCTAAATAAAGAAAACAATTTTCAATTTATTTAAAAAATACTTATTAATTAAAGTTGATAAGTATTGAACTGGTAATACAAAGTTTTTAATGAGAAACAATACGCACAGCTTATGTGAAATTATCGCTAAACAAAACGCGTTTATTACGGCACAATAAGCTAAGCTGTAGATAACGAGGATGAAGCGGTACTAACGAGCGCATATGTAATTCCCAGAGTAGTTCAATTGAAATTGAAATTAAGTGGAAAATGAAAGTTATAGTAGAGAAAAAAATAAAAATATAAAAATAAAAATAAAATAAAAATTTAATTAAATGAAATCAAAATAAATAGAAAAATTAAACAGAAAATAATATGTTATTAAAAAAATATGTATTACAAAATTTAATTAGAAATAAATAAATATATGAAAATATTAAAGAAAGAAAAGAAAAAATATTTGTATAGAAAATATAAAGTAAAAGGGAACAGATTAAAAAATACACTGCAAATTAAAAAGTGAAAATCTAAATAAAAAAGCTTAAATGTTAAATTATATAAAAAAAAAAAATTAAATAAAATAAAACATAACCTAAATTAAACTTAAAATAAAAATACAAATAGAAAAAGTAAACGAAAAATCAATTTAACTAAAAAAATAAAACCAAATCAAAAAACAAACAGAGAAATGAGGAAAATAAATATAAAAAAATATAAAAACATCTAAATAAAAACCATATTTAATGGCACAGTGCCAAAAGTACAAACACAATTGAAAAAATAGAAAAAAATAAAAATATTGAAAAAAGATTACAAAGCATATTTTACAAAAAAAAATCTAAAAATACAATAAAATAAAATGCTAAAAAGACCATCAAATCCAATAAACCCTTACATGTTATAAATTCTGAAAAATATTATTAATTTAAAAATAGTTCTCAGAGCGAAAATTCGCAATAAACGATATATATTTAACTCTTGTCGAGCACGAAAAATCGAGCTTAGAAGTTTGTATTTAATTAATTTCCTCAATATAACAGCACACACTTTTCTGTGTCTCAAATATCAGCGAAAGCTTATATTTTGTGCTAGCTAGTATATCAGTATTTGCCAGAGTGAATTTTTATGCGTTGCCGGTCTATACATAAAATTTAATAAATTTATAACCTAAAAAAGTTCTTCATGTGGACTATATCCCGAGTTACATTTAAATAAATCGCAGATGAGCGCAGCCTTGCTTTGGCTTGAGCTACTTTAAAATTTCTATGCATTTTGTTTAGTGGCGCCACAGCTCATCTAAATCCAGTATAAGCACTAACTTGTTTGCGGATAGAGCTTTTTTTTTAGGTTTTTAACCATTTTTTTTAAGCACGCACGTTGTGAAATCTCTTTTTGATAATTCCTCATCTAAAACCATTAATTTTATAAGGCCGCGACATTTTTTTGTAACGATTTTATTAAAGAATTTAAGCAACACGACAAGAATAGTGAAAGCTCTCTTTGAATTTCTGTCTTAAAGCAAAAATAATGAAATCTTCACTTATGAACATACGTACATACATTAATAGTATTTTTTATTAGCAAGTGAAAATTATGCGAAGGGGTTTCAAAGAAAGTTTTAACATCCATTTTTCACAATAAACATAAAATAAAAATTTCGCAAGCGCCAGTTACAGTCCGCTAGGCACAACACGCTTACACACACACACACAACTTTATACCAAGAAAAATCTTCTCAAACACATTTTAAACATCTTCATTCTCTTTTTCGCCTTTCAGGACTTGGCAAACTTATAATTGACGACCTCGAACCGGCCCTGCAGTTCTGCGACTATCTTGTCTATGGTTATGCGGGCATTGAACGCGACTCCCACAAAGCGGTCTCACTCAATCAGAACTTAGACTTGGATCTCGGCAAGGGCCTTTACCGTACGGTTACACGCCTAAAGCGCAAATACCCCGCATTGAAGGTGCTGCTTGGCTTGGGCGGTGATAAGGATATCGAGACCGGCGAAGATGCCAAAGACTTACCAAACAAGTACTTGGAATTGCTGGAGAATCCAGTTGGACGTACGCGCTTCCTCAACACAGTTTATGCTTTGGTAAAGACCTACGGCTTCGATGGCCTCGATATTGCCTGGCAATTCCCGAAGAACAAGCCCAAAAAGGTACACAGCGGTATTGGCAGTTTGTGGAAGGGTTTCAAAAAGGTCTTCAGTGGCGATCACATTGTCGATGAAAAATCTGAGGAGCATAAGGAACAGTTCACTGCATTGCTGCGAGATGTAAAGAACGAATTCCGTCCCGATAATTTATTGCTGTCGGCAACAGTGTTGCCCAATGTGAACTCATCGTGTAAGTAGATAATTTGGTCAATGTGTGGGTTAGGGTGTGCCCCTCTCTAATGATTTATTTTCTACAGTATTCTACGACGTGCCGGCTATTGTTAACTACCTGGACTTCGTCAACTTAGCCGCCTTTGACTTTTACACACCGGAACGCAACCCTGAACTGGCCGATTTGCCAGCACCGCTGTACGAACTGCCCGAACGTAATCCACAATTTAATGTCAACTTCCAGGTGCAATATTGGTTGCGTAACAATTGCCCAGCCTCCAAATTGAATGTGGGTGTGCCCGCCTTCGGCCGCGCCTGGAAGCTGACCGATGGTTCCGGCGACACTGGCGTACCACCGGTGGGCAATGTTGAAAATGAAGCACCCGCTGGCCCTCACACACAAATCAAGGGTCTCTACAGTTGGCCGGAGGTGTGCGCACTGCTGCCGAATACCAACAATGCCTATGGCAAGGGCGCCAACCTGGCTCTTACCAAGGTAGCCGATCCGACCAGACGTACTGGAAACTACGCATATCGCACAGATGAAAAGAGCAGCGGTCATGGCTTGTGGGTGGCTTATGACGACCCCGACACAGCGGCCGAGAAGGCAGGCTATGTGCGTCAATTCAATTTGGGTGGCGTAGCGCTTTTCGATTTGTCCTTTGATGACTTCCGTGGCTCTTGCACTGGCGACAAATACCCTGTACTGCGCGCCATCAAGTACCGCCTAGTCAACTAAACCACAACGCAATACCTAAATACATATTTCTAATTTTTGACACATTTACAACGTAACTATATAGCACGAACATGAATATATGTATGTATAAATATATATGCATACTTCACAGCAGAATTCGAAAAGGGCGTAGAATAAATTTAGTTTTTAATTTGGGCATTAATTAAAAAATGAGATAAATTTATTGCTCTAAGAAAATAAAACCATTCGAGATTTCCATACTCTCATCTATTTCCTAAACATAATTCAAATAAACTTTTTATACTCGGGTTTAA